GAGCACGAGCAACATTTGAGGGTAGTGCTTCAGACCTTGCGAGAGCAGAAGCTATATGCTAAGTTCTCCAAGTGTGAGTTTTGGCTAGAGTCAGTGGCATTCTTGGGGCATATTATGTCAGGATAGGGTATTAAGGTGGACCCCAAGAAGATTGAGGCAGTTAAAAGTTGGCCACGTCCTACTTCGATGAACGAGATCAGGAGTTTTATGGGGTTAGTAGGTTATTATAGATGATTCATGCAGGGCATTTCATCTATTGCATCATCTCTGACTAGATTGACCTGAAGGGTGCTCCCTTCCGTTGGTCTGATGATTTCGAGGCGAGCTTTCAGAAGCTCAAGACAACCTTGACTACAACATCAGTTCTTGTGTTGCCTTCCGGCTTAGGGGTGTATACGATATATTACGACACTTCGCGCATCGGATTGGGGTGTGTATTGATGTAGGAGGGGTGAGTTATTGCATATGCTTCGCGTCAGCTGAAAATCCATGAGAAGAATTATCCTGTGCACGATTTGGAGTTGGCCGCGATTGTTCATGCTCTTAATATATGGATGCATTATCTGTACAAGGTATCATGTGAGGTTTATACTGATCATCGCAGCTTATAGCACTTGTTCAAGTAGAGGGATCTCAATTTGAGGCAGCGTAGATTGCTTGAGTTGCTGAAGGATTATGACATCACCATTCTTTATCATCCGGGCAAGGCAAATGTGGTCGTGGATGCCTTAAGCAGGAAAGCAGAGAGTTGGGTAGCTTGGTGACAGTAGAGCAGAGGCCACTAGCTTTGGACATCCAGTCCTTGGCTAACAGACTTGTGAGGTTGGATATTTCAGAGCCCCACGGAGTTCTTGCGTGCGTTGTTGCTCAGTCTTCATTATTGGGGCAGATCAGGGCCCGGCAATTTGATGATCCACATATGGAAGTTCTCAGAGAGACAATGCTTCAGGGTAGTGCCAAGGAGATTTCTATTGGCGAGGATGGTGTTTTATGGCTCCAGGGTCGCCTATGTGTTCCTAATGTTGATGGCCTAAGGGAGAGGATACTAGATGAGGCACACTGTTCGCGGTATTCTATTCATCCGGGTGCTACGAAGATGTATCGTGACTTGAGGCAGCATTATTGGTGGCGGAGGATGAAGAAAGACATAGTGGATTATGTGGCTAAGTGTTTGAACTGCCAGCAGGTCAAGTACGAGCATCAGAGACCGGGTGGCCTACTTCAGTAGATGCCTATACCAGAGTGGAAGTGGGAGCGCATTACTATGGATTTCGTAGTTGGCTTGCCCCGGACCTTGCGGAAGTTTGATTCAGTGTGGGTCATCGTGGATAGGTTGACCAAGTCGGCACACATTATACCGGTTGTGACTACTTACACTTCGGAGAGACTGGCTCAGATTTAGATTCGGGATATAGTCTGGTTGCACGGTGCACCTGTTTCCATCGTATCGGATAGGGGCCCTCAGTTCACTTATCATTTTTGGAGAGCTATTCAGGGTGAGTTGGGGACCCGCGTGGAGCTTAGCACAGCATTTCACCCACAGACCGACGGGTAGTCGGAGCGGACAGTCCATATCTTGGAGGACATTCTTAGAGCATGTGTGATTGACTTTAGATGATAGTGGGATCAGTTCTTGCCTTTGGCAGAGTTTGCTTACAACAACAGCTATCAGTCTAGCATTGAGATGGCTCCATTTGAGGCTTTATACGTTCGGCAGTCATTCTCCTATCGGGTGGTTTGAGCCTGGTGAGGCTAAGTTATACGGTACAGATTTGGTACAGGATGCCTTGGACAAGGTAAAGTTGATCCAGGAGAGGCTTCGCACAGCTCAGTCCAAACAGAAGAGTTACACAGATTAGAAGGCGCGAGATGTATCATTTATGGTTGGCGAGAAGGTCCTCTTGAAAGTCTCGCCAATGAAGGGTGTTATGAGGTTCGGGAAGAAGGTCAAGCTGAGCCCAAGGTTTATTGGCCCATTTGAGGTGTTGAGACGAGTTGGGGAGGTTGCTTACGAGCTTGCTTTACCCCCTAGTTTATCGGGAGTCCACCCAGTCGGTCACGTGTCCATGCTTCGGAGGTATCATGCCGATTTGTCCCGTGTGTTGGACTTCAGTACTATTCAGTTGGATGAGAGCCTGAGTTACGAGGAGGATCCAGTTGCCGTTATTGATAGGCAGGATCGCCAGTGAAGATCCAAGAGGATTTCAGCAGTAAAGGTCCAATGGAGGGGCCAACCAGTCGAGGAGGCGACCTGGGAGTCCGAGGAGGATATGCGGAGCAGATACCCACATTTATTCAGCACTTCAGGTACGTTTCTATGCCCGTTCGAGGATGAATGTTTGTTTAAGAGGTGGAGAATATAACGACCCGACTGGTCATTTTACCTTTTAGAACTCTGTTCCCTTAAATAAAACTTCCTGCACTTGCTTTAACTCATTTATGACCCGCGGGGATAGTTGGTTCGGGAATTTGAAAGGATTTGGGTTGAAATATGCTCATTTGATTCCTTAAGATTTTCTTAAAAGGCTAAGTTTGATTTTGGTCAACATTTTTAGTAAACGGACCCAGATTCATGTTTTGACGGTCCTGGAGGGTCCGTAGGAAATATGGGACCTGGGCGTATACCCGAAATTGAATTCCGAGGTCCTTAGCCAGAGTAATAAATTTTTATTAAAAATTGTTAAACTGAAATTCTAAGGATTTAAAGAAACTAAATAATGATTGATCACACGAGTATCGGGCTCGTATGTTGGTTCCGGGGCCCAGTACAGATCCAAAATAGCATTTAAGACTTGCCCGCATAATTTGGTGTCAATCCGAGTAGTTTAAGGGAGTTTTGGCTCGTTAAAGGAAAATTAAGAACTTGAAGTTCATATGTTTGATTCAATTGGTTTTAGGGGTGATTCTTAGATTTAGCGTTGTTTCGAACGTTCCGAAGATTCGAGTAGGTCCGTTTCATGATTTCATACCTGTCGGTATGTTCAGGCGGGGCCCGGGAGCCCCAAGCGTCAATCGGACGAGGCTCGAGTGAAGTTGAAATTTTTGAGAAGTGCTTCAGTCATAACCGCACTTGCGGTTGGTTGACCGCAGGTGTGAGACCACAGAAGCGGTCTGCCTATCACAGATGCGGCCCAGGGCAGGCCAGACCCAAACCGCAGAAGCGGCTCCCAAGCCGCAGAAGCAGCCTCGAGACCACAGAAGTGGTGGCAGCCCACTTGGCCAGTTCTGCAGATGCGTTTGATTTCTCGCAGAAGTAGGACCGCAGATGCAGTCCCCTGACCGTAGATGCGGAAGTCGCTGAAGTAGTAAGCTTCATTTAATACGGGTTCTAAGTCCCTCTTTGCCACTTTTCACTCCTCCATTGGCGATTTTAGGAGCTTTTGAGAGAAGACTTCCACCTAGTATCTTGAGGTAAGTTTATCCCACCTATTCTTAGGTTAATACTTGTGTCTTAGGTAGATTAAATACTAGAATTAAGGTAAAATCAAGAGGTTAGAGCAAAACCTAGGGTTTTGACAAAAGTTAGATTTAACCACGGAATTTATTATGAAATGAATTAGAAATCGTATATTATTGATCCTTAGGTTATGAAGAACAACTTCCTTCAAAAAATTTCGGAATCCGAGCACGTGGGCCCGGGGGCGGATTTTAGGAAACTTGTTAATGGTTGGAAAATTGCTTAAATAGCTAGAATTCGATCTTGTAAGCTTATATTGACTAGTTCCTACCTCATTTAACTAGTTTTGGATCATTCGGCTCCAAATTGAGAGTTTGGGCTCGTCCATGGTATTGGAAGTGCACTTTGGAGCGAGGTGAGTCTCCTTTCTAACCTTGTAAGAGGGAATTATCCTCATAGGTGTAATAATTGGATAATTGCTACTAAATGCGGGGGCTACGTGCGCACTAGGTGACGAGAGTCCGTGCGTAGCTACTATTATGTTAATTATCCGGGTAGTCTAGGACCCGTACCATGCTATATTTGTGAATGTCTCTATATTTTCTTGCTAATGTGATCACTTAAGGTATGCTAGAAACTTGGAAAGGAATATTTGCGAATGTATACACTTGTTGGACACTTGTATGAATTTGTTTGAAAATAAATGCGCATTCATGTGTTTCCTTGATATTAATTGATATTTGTGGATTGGGTCGATCGCCTCGGTAGAAATAGATGCATCTATGGTTCGCGTCATTCGACCCTCTGGCAGTGCACAGTTTATTTTCTGTTGGATCGGGTCGTCGACCTCGGCATAATGTGTGCATGATATCCATGTGAAATCTTATCCATGACTTGATCTGCTAAATATTTGAAATGTAAATGGCTGATTGTAAAATTGTCAAGAACATGACTTATTACCTCTTGCTACAAACTGTTGATTATTTTTGACTCCCATGCTTAGTACAATTCTTCATTATATTATTTGACCTTAGTAAGTATCAAGTCGACCTCTCATCTCTATCTTTTCGAGATTAGGCGGGATAATTACGGGGTACATATTGTTTATGTACTCATACTACACTTCTGTCACTACTAGAAATTGGAGCTATGGCAACCTTTCGAAAACCGTTACAATAAATAAGCTAACCGTCCTTATAGGGCTAATGGGACGGATTTGGACGCGTTCCGGGATTCAGTGTTACAATAGGTCTACTGGAACGGTTATTTGCAACAGTTTACAAACCGTCTCCATAGATAGGGTATTGGAACGGTTTGTACTGCTACCACTATTCTATCTACAGAAACGGTTTCCTTTTCATTTGGGACGGTTATAAACCATCCTGGTAAAATAATACAGCTGATTTTTTTAAGTCTATTGCAACGGTTTTCATGATATATTGCAACGGTTTGTGTGATATATTGAAACAATTATCAGTACCCCTATTGCAACAGATATTATAACATATTGGAACAGTTATAAAGGGCTGCTCTTATTATTTGCTAGATCTATTGGAACGGTTATATTCTCTATTGCAACAACTTGTAATTTCTGATATTTATGGAAGCAAAATGAGAAATAGTTTCCTATTCTATGAAATTGTTTACACCATATCCAACTAGCATTATCCATATACAAAAACAAAATATGGATACATTGTTTGGTCAAACAATTCAAAAGTCAAAATAGATGAGTTTGTATACAAAAAGTTCTAAACTAAAATATCCTTAAACATAATAATAGAAAGTCTAACAACGATCAATAACACTCAAGTAAGGTCTTCGTCACTGCTTTCATCTGCAATCACTGCACCTACAAAACACAATGAGAAATAATTAAACAAAAATTTTAGGATAATTGAATCACAAAGTAATTGAATGACCAATTTGATAACTTGAAAATTTTCAAACTCTCTAAATTCTTAAATTTTTTGGCAAAGTTTCCTTTGTAAAAATGACTATTCCAAAATTTTCAACCTGCTCAAAACATCATTTTGAAGAACTCCCACTGTCAGTCATGGAAATTGGAAACAGAACTACTGCTCAATGGTAATTTGCTTAGTTCAAACATCCCTGCAGAAACTAATATGGTTGTTTCTCACTTCTCAATTTCTGAAGCAATGCAGAAACCATAGAAAATTAGAACAACTACTATATGCCGAACCATATGCAGAAACTTGTAGAGGTAAATCCTATTATCCTAGAAAACGTATAAAAAATAGAACTGTTATATTTACTTGTGCAGAAACTATAGAAAATAGAACACTTAAGTATAAACACTTAAGTTGACGGAAGAGAGTATTCTAATATAAATGATTCAGGTGCTTTCGAGTTTTCAACAAATATGCTGCAAGTAAGCTTTCTTTACGAATGTAACTTGCTCATCTCTCTTTCACATCCCAAACTGAATATCTTGATTTATTTTTAATGATCAAGCTTCAACATCTTTGTCTATAACTTCTAAAGTTTTTTTTCTTTATCTTTTTCATAACTTCTAAGGTATTTCTAAATTATGAAAAATCAAAAAAAAAAAAAAACAGAAAAAAGAATTAAAAAACAATGAAGTCATCTTCATTCACTATAGAAACTAGACAAATTAAGATCAACCAAGATCTTTAATTGAAAAAATGTGCACATGTACAAGCTACTCTTCAGTACGAGCTAGCACTCCATATTCTCCACCAGATTCATTACCCTCATAGAAGGAGCCAGTTCCAAGGCAATCACGCTCAACAGAGTAGTCATGATTCGTGAATCCGCAGCAACCAAGTAAACTTGAAATTTTTGAAAGAAGTCTACGTTAGAAATTATTAGAAAATAGAAAGGGAAAGGGGGGTTTTGAGCAGATAGCAGCTTTTCTTGTCTGTCTCAAGCCTCTAAGTCTAAAGTTTAAGGGATTAGGGAATTAGGGGTTTTGGGTATGGGCTTAGGCTTATTGATACTATGCACCTAACATATATCCACTGTCAATAAGTTTGCAAAGCGTAATAATACAAAAATCTGCCACCATCGTCAATTGTTCAAACAGTTCAAACATCTGTGAAATGAATGCTATTTATCCACTGTCATTCCAGCTAAGGTAAATCATATTCATATATAAGGAAGTTTGATAATTTGGATGAAGATAGTGCGAGCATCTCTAGAATAGCAGCAGATAAAATATGCACATGAATTCTAAACTCAGAATGGCAACTAGAATATAGCAATGCAATTCATCATTCTGGAGAAGTTTGCAAAGCGTAATATATATCCTAGCATATATAGTTCTTGGTATCAACAAGTATAATTCTAAATTGAATAACCTAAAAAAAACAGAAAGATAGTCGTTTATTTCTTAGCAAAAGAACAGCCCCGCTTTATTTCATGCAATATTAAATCAGTACTTTTTTCATTTTAAATAAGCAATATTAATACCTGGAATGAGTTGGCCTTCTTTGTTGATATTAGTAGATGGACGACGGATTGGTTGTAAAGTTGCTTGTTGTGCAAAAGAAGCTTCTCCTAGAGAATTATCACCCAATGCCGCTAGAATAATGTTAGCATCAATATCAATTCCTGAACACTGAAGTCGTGCAAGGACATCTGCAACAACTTCTTGACGGATAGTTGCCTTTTGTTCCTCAATTTTTTCCTCCATTCTTTGTATATTCTCCTCCATTTTTTGTAGATAATTTGTAGTATTTGAAGAGGATTCAAAACATCCTACTTTCCCTCTCAAAGAATTCTTGTAACCCCTCGTCCATACAATCTCAGGCGTCCCGGATGTCCAGGCCCCATGATAGATGCAAATGCATCTACGGACTCACTAAGCACTAGTTTCTTCCATTTCATTTTGAGCGTGATAAAATCAATAGTCAATGAGGGGAGCAGTGCCATCAGAGAACGTAGCATCCAACTGAAACCACAGATTTTGGATCTGGCTTTTAAAAGGAATTGCTTGGACTTTGGATTTAAGGACTTACTGGAGAAAAGGAATCAATCTGCTTTTTCTGCATCATTAGGTTTCATACTGCACCATTTGGAAACTAGGGAGAGCCAGTTTCATTACATTTAGTTGTATTAAATGGTTTACTATGATGCTTTAATTTTATAAAGTTTCAACAAAAAAGATATAAGCATACTTGTAGCTTTTTCACCTTTCTGATATGTACATCTTTCTGATATGTACACCAGCTTTTGGGATTAGTAAGCTCAAGGCCCTGTGGTTGTGCATTTAGGTAGCTTTTTCAACTGAGAAATTGTGCCTTTTGCACCCTAGTTCATCTTGCAGCCCCTTACTAGTTAAGTAATGAATAGTGCCTTTTGCACCCCAGTTCACCCCCAGAAAATAATAACTTAATAGATACATATCATCAGTGGGAAACACTTAGAAAGNTCGATACTATTTAAGTGAAGCTTTGACTAAGTGATTTTGGAAATAAGGTTCATAAATTAAAGAACCAGAAAAGGTAGAAACACTCTTGAAATGACGAAAGGACATCAATATATAATTCCTTTTCTTTTTACAAATAAAAATTGCATCATCATTCAAATAGCAATTTTTCTTCAATCTGTATCAATTTTTCTTGAATCTGTATATTCAGAAAGGCAAGCAATTTGTCTGAGAAGAATAACCCCAATGTCTAATAGACGTGAAGGCAAACACTTACCCATTAGACTAAAGCACAGACATGAACGAATCTCACAATTTTAAGTGAAAGCAACACAAGCATAATTGAACAGAAGTAAAAGAATATGTTTATCAAAAATATTACCAGAGAAAGAAAAAAGGAGCAGCGAAAAGATTTTTCTGAATAACCAAGAAAGCGAACAGGGAAGATCGAACATCGATAGCAAACATCGAACAAAAATCCCATGGTTTCAAACAGAACATCAAAACCTAACAAATAAATCCCCCAATTTTACAAACTAGAAATCACAGCAAAGATCGAATATCTATAGCAAACATCGAATAAAGAAACTATTACCAAAGAAATTGGGGCAGCGAAATGATTTTTCTGAATATTACCGGAGAAAGAAAAAAGGAGAGATAAGGAGAAAGAAAAAGGAGCAGCGAAAAAAGGAGCAGCAAAAATAGGAGCAGCGAAAGAAAAAATTACTCGAGAAAGAAAAAAGCCCCCAAAATATTACCAGAGAAAGCAAAAAAAGAGCAGCGAAACAATGTTTTTGAATAACCAAGAAAGCAAACATCGATAGCAAACATCGAATAAAGAAAATCTCATGGTTTCAAACAGAAAATCAAAACCTAACAAATAAATCCCCCAATTTTGCAAACTAGAATCACAAATGTATCATGTAATACAAACAAAGCAGAAGCAAAGACCTTCAAACAACAACAATAACAACAACGCCATTGGAGTCGAAAACGACGATGCAACTGAGGCCAAAAGCGCTCCTATTCTTAAGGAGAAGAAATCCAAACGCCAAATTAAAGAAAACATAAGGGAAAAAAGAAAGAGAAAATTGAATAGTTATACAAACATCAAACAGGGGAAAATCGATAGCCTACCTCGGAGATTGCTCGTATGTTAGCCGAAACTGGTCGTCAATCACCGGCAGTTGCCGTCCGTCACCGGAGCTGGCCGACAGAGTCCATTGATGGTGAGGTCGATGTGTTCTAGGTTGAGGTTGAGAGAGACGGTGTTCAAGGTTTAATTTTGAGACTGAGTTTAGAGAGAGTGACAGAACCTTCTATGTCAAATATTAAAGAGTTATAAAATATTAGTGGGGTCAATGTTTTTAATAAAAATATAGGAGGGAAAAGTAAACTGTCCCAATATACTTTTATTTTATAAAACCGTTCCCACAGGTAACTCTATGGTATCGCTTTTACAAACCGTCTCCATATATTCACTTATAGCAACGGTTATTATACTATTGGAATGTTTGTTCTTCATAAGTGTCCCAAAAACCTTTTGACTCTATTAGGACGGTCTAACCGTTCTAATATATGATCTATTGTAACAGTTACAAAACCGTTGCACAATAACTGTTCCAATAAAGTCATTTTCTAGTAGTGTGTACTTAATTGTACAAGATCTGAGGCAGGTACATCTGGCTATCAGTCTGGTGCGCGCCCCTGATTCATAGTCCGGGACTTCCACGGTGAGCTGCCCCTTCCTGTGCCGTTCAGCAGCTTGATAGAGTCTCTCTTTATTTATTTTTGCTGTCTATTCTATTTCGGACAGTAGGATGGATTTATTCTTTTGTATATTCTACTAGTTGCCCACAACTTGTGACATCACGTCTTGACACACACATTAGTAGACGTTTCATTTGGGTTGTATAATTATTATCGAATATTGTGTATTATCACCTGACTTCAATTGCAAATTAAGAAAATGTTGTAACTGTTTTGGGTAAGTAAAATAAGAATTTACTAATACTTCCGCGTTGGCTTGGCCTGACAATGGTATTGGGTGCCATCACGATCTGTTATGGAAATGGGTCGTGATAGTTGTGATTTAGATATGAATATTGTTGTTTGATATTAGTTGACCTTGATTATAATTCACCAATATATAGTTGTTTCTTCTATTCTGTGATTAATTGCTTAATTGTCTGGTCAGCAGTTAGGTTCTATTTACTATCTATGCTATGCTTGGGAAAACCGTGTTTAGATTAGAGAAGAATTGAAGAGAGCTTGATCTTAACCCTTAGGGGGAGCGGATTTGTGGTTAAGATAGGAATATACCTAGTCACCGTGCTTAATTAAATATCGTAATCTTAATGCATTCTTAATAGATTGATTTCATAGGAATATAGGCATTAATCTATTGAGAATAGGTGAGTAGTACTTCGGGAGAAAGCTATGAGAGCATTTATCGATTAATTAGCGACCATGAGTGAATTATATGAAAAGGAGAGTTAATTAGAACACAATACGAATGGTTAATCAATCACAACCCTGGAATACTTGTCTCTACTGAATACACAACAATCAACTCGTTACTTGATAATTTAGTTATTATTTTGAATAGTAGTATAATATAATCATATTATTGGATTTTGATTTTAGCTGGATTGAATAACAATTTTAGTGATTTAGTGAGTAGTTTATACAAGTCTCTATGGGTTCGACACTCAACTTATCATTGTATTACTTGTCGACCACGTATACTTGTGTGTGCATTTGGGAGCAACACAATTCGATTAGTATTTACAGAATTATTATTTAGGATTGAGAATATACTTCGGGCCAAGAATGTTTTCGGATTTAATAAATAAAATTTCAGTAGGTTTCAAAGTACTCTAATTCCTAAATATTAGGATTTTCTACGTAGTTCAAATAAAAAAAATTTAATATTAAATTTATGAAATTATTAATTTAATAAACTGTCAATTAGCCGTAAGAGCTAAATGCAGGGCGAAGCTACAGTAGTAAGTGCGGGTTCAGGCGAACCTAATGACTTTTTCCCCAACTCTATATTTGTGTTGAAAAATTTACTCATATACATATATATATACATATGTATATGTATATATTAGGCCGAACTGTAAAACCCCAGAGATTTCTGCACTAAAACAAATTTTGTTCTAGTACAAGCTTTAAGTTGGACAAAAGGATTTTCAAATACGAGAAAATATGTATAACTATATTTTATATTTTAGGTTTAGGAGGTGGTATGACATAGAAAATAGGGAAAAGTAGTTTGGGACAAAATAGAAATATCCAAGGTAAGAACACAACTATAGCACCCAAGGCGTGGAATTGAGATAAAAGGGACGGGTAAAGAGAAAATAGCTTCATTCTTCAAAAATTAAACCTCTCTTCTCATCCTCAAGTCATCCTAGGGTTCTCATACTAGCTAAGGTGAGTTTTCAATGCGATTAATGCTAGAATACTACTTTCAAACATCAATTATAACATTATTCCATCTTGAAATTGTTAGATACTCAACAAAAACTCAAGAACAAGATCTCTCCACTAACCTAGGGTTTTGTAATTCAAGGTAAGCTTCGTAACTCCTTTCAACCATGATTATTAGAAAGGTTTAGGGTTGATATTTGTTCTAATAAACTACTACTAAAAAAGATACTTATGAACGATGAACCCTAGAGAGTCAGAAGAGTCAAACCCAGGGTTTCTAAACTTGGAAATCTTGGAGCTTCTAATATTGATTCTTGATGTAATTGTGTATAGATTGATTTGAGAAGTTGAATCTTTTGGATTGAAGCAACGAGGATACTCAAAGGAAGAACTAAGGTCAGTTGAGACAATACTCTTACTAAAGTTGTCCTCTCACAAATATCATATCACGAGTTAGGCTTAAGCCACATAGAACGTTAATGTGGATTTTGATTGAAGCGAGTGAGCTCGCTCACATTATTCATTAGAATTATGGAGACGTATATATAAGATTATCCTGTTTAATTGTACAATAATAGTCTGATTCATTGTCTCATAAATCATATCTCATCCCTTCATGACTTGTATATGTTTTCTTAATATCATGGATTGCTGAAATTTATTTCATATAACTTGATAGAACTATTTGATAAGAATGATGGAGAATTATTATTGTTTTCAATTTCATTATTAAATAGGTTTACATAAATATTATTTTTGGGAATTCCTAGATCTCTGAGAGAGGTTTGTAGCCCTTGGTAGTTTACAATGCCTCAAAACTACTCGTGCTATTGTAGGTCTGGTCGTCTAATGTTGGTTCGGGCACTACAAAGAAAAGCCTTGGTGAAACATAAGAACTCGAATATGCTATAACCTAGAACTGTACGGCACCATAGAGATGGGCCCTTATAACGACTTGGTCGATCTTTTTATGTATTGTAGCTCCGTCCCTATTTATTACTTATTGTATGTTCAATTATGGTGATGTGACTTGCCATGGTGGTTGGTTTGGTTACGATATTTCAGAGTGAATTGGGACACTTATTTTTACTGTTTTTGAATTAATTTAGAAAGAATAGAGTTTGACCAATTGGATTGCTAAGATACGTGGACTTTATGATTAATTAAGAAAGGAGGCTTGGGTTGTAGAAGACTGCTACTGCTTTCATTTTGTTATGTTTCTATGAGCCAAATAAAATCTCAAAATCCATGGCCCTTATTTAATTAATTTTGAATCTTTAGAAACCGAGGCGTGCCATTTAGTTGAATTTCCATGGCCCTCGCAAATTTGCGAATGCGTAGTTGCTTTAGGCGCGCTATTTAAAAACTAGTTTTCCTAAACTCGGGTGCACATTTATGTGACCCAAATTCAAATCTCAACAATGTTAGATAAAATGTGTCGTGGACCGCGGGTGCATTTATGTGACGTGATTCGAGACGTGTTTTAGATGACGCTGAATCTTTTTCCTAAAAAATAATTATTAAATAAAAGCGGTTATAAAGTTAAAATTGAATCATA